GCCAGGTTCTGAACATATTCCAGTGTACTTTTGATAAATCTGCTGTCCCCCACTCCCAAGCTGCTATGAATCAGTTTGTTGCATCTAACCAGAGACCTAACTCATGTAAGCATAATATTAAAATATTAAGACGGATGCCCTGTTAATTGAAGATTTGACCAATGTGATGTGAGATGTTGGTTACGTCAGAAAATTAGAGCTTGGTGATTCTAATGGCAAGACTATTTATTTACAGCAATTTCTCTGGCATGTATTTGTTATGTGAATGGAGGTAAATTCCAATGGGATTAACTGACTGGTAATTCCAAAAACTAAGAAACATCATTAGATCAAAACATTAGCATCCAAAAGTACTATTTGAAAGAGCAGCTGCTGTAAGGAAATGTGGGAAACAATGAAGACAAATTTAGCTATCCCATAATATCACTTAATGTACCTGAGGAAGAAGTAAAATAACCCCCTCCCCATTCTTCCTTGTGCTAGTATCAAAACAGTGTTCTTAAATTTTGTTGTGGATTGATGCTAGTGCAAACTTGTGCAACCCCTATGGAAAGCAGTATGGAGAACTCTTAAAAAAACTAAAAATGAACCTATCATTTGACCAAGTTATACCACTCCTTGGCATATACCCAAAGGACTCATCCTATTGTAGAGACATGTGTACAACCATGTTTGTTGCTGCTCTTTTCACAATAGCTAAGAGACAGAAGCAACCTAAGTGTCCCTCAACTCATGAGTGGATAATGAAAATGTAGTAAAGACAAAGACAAAAGAAAGACAAAATTATGAAATTTGCAGGTAAATGGATGGAAATAGAAACTAAGTAAATATTAAGTGAAGTAACACAGACTCAGAAAAACAAACAACATATGTTCTCCCTCATATGTCAATCCTAGCACCAAATCCTTATATTCAAATGTCCCAATCACTAATCAAAGAAGCTTATTTTGCACCAGTAGGAGACTATTACCAATTACCAAAACTTTTCACACACAGACATTGTCTATGAATTGCCCAAGTCTAAATGACACATCTACAGTGCAACCTCAACACCTAAGGCTCAGAGGGCCAGGATCATGAAAGGTCACAAATGGCCAAAGCATAGAAATTTAGAGTCTGCAGAATGCTGGTCCTTGGACAGGACTCCTATATTAAACTTCACCCACCTAGGGCTCAGGGAGCATTTCAGAAGAGGGGGTGGAAAGATTGTAAGAGCCAGGGAGGAGGTGCATGACCATATGGAAACAGAGTTCTACAGGTGCCTGGGACCCTGCTCATATGATTCTATGACAATGGTGTCAGCATACACAAGTCCCATGCAAACTCAGGCAGACAAAAACCCAGCATAGAATTGGGAAAATGAACAGCAGACCCAAATCTTAGCTAAAGAAATATTGGCAACTGATTTCCTCTCAGTGAGGAAGAGCTGATCATCCTAAAACAAGGAACTCTAGAAAGACTGACTAGACATCAGTGGATGGGCTTGCACTGGGAACGTCTGGGAACACTGACTTGACACAGTGGCCATATCACAGATGACAGTTCCAATGGGGGGGGCAGACTATGGGAGCATGCTGATGGGGATGGGAGTATATTTGAGATGTTCTGTATGGAATATACAAAAATTCAATAAAAACAAATTTTAAGAAATTCTGTTGTGGATTGAGTCACTTTAGATGTGATGCTAGATTTGAATAAGAGTTTAATTTTGTGAATTTTAAGCATCTTTTTGATATCTAAGCAATGTCTACAAAGGAATGAAAACTACAAAAGAATATTAAGAATCTTAGAATTGTCAAGAATTGCAGTGAGGAATGTGGGGGCTTAGAGAGAAACAGGATTGCATAGGATATCAAAATAAGCCCAGGTGATTCAATAGTGCCTTCACCCAGAAGTTTCTTTGGGGACTTTAAAGAACTCGTAATCATTTATTCACTCCCAAATAATTATTTAAACGCCCTCTTAACACACGAGGCATTTGCGATACAGTACGTGGTACAAGATCACAATCATATGAAGGAACGAGCTAAGGGGAACATGAGTCTTCAGAAGCCACACCAAAAGTCTGTATTTTAAGTTTCATATATCTGTGTATTTATATATACGGGGGAAGGGAAGAGTTTTCAAGTCAGGATGGGTGCCCATGGGACAGGAAGAGGTTCCCCCACCTAAAATACACAGATTTGGTGTTTTCGTTGGGTAAGTTAGAACTGCAACGCCAATGCACCCCTGCCTCAGGAAACTAACCGTACTTAAGAAGAAAAAAGGGTTATAGGAGAGAAATTACTCCATTAGAACACAGAACTGCTACAGCAAGCCCTTTGTGTGTATGGAGAGGCCCTGAACTACAATTCCCACAAGCCCGTGTGACACCCCCCCCCCCGCATTAACTGCACAGCTGGGGACAGGAGGCCTGGCAGGCGCGCTTTAACGTCATCTGCGTGCGTCCCCCGGTAGCAAGTACAGACTGTGACAGCATGGCCGCTGTTGAGGCGGAGATAGTGCCGGCTCTGGTTGCGGACTCGGCCCCAGTCTCTGACCCTGCGGGAGCAGCCCAGACTATGGTTGCGCCCTCGGTAGCCGGCGCTGCAGCCGCTGCTGTGGCGGCCGCCGCCAGGACGGGATCCGAGGCCAAGGTTTCCAAGGCCGCGCTGGCCACCAAGCTGCTGTCGCTCAGCGGCGTGTTCGCCGTGCACAAGCCCAAAGGGCCCACCTCAGCCGAGCTGCTGAACAGGTTGAAGGAGAAGCTGCTGGCAGGTACTCAGCCCGGGTAGGGATCAGGCTGAGACGGTCTCCACCACAGGGGAAGCGCACTGGGATTTTTATTTATTTATCTGCTTATTTGCACGCTCATGGCTCGAGAGGAAAATATGGGAAAGGGAGAACGACCATTGAATAAGCTCTGGATGAAAAGCTGGGGCATCTTGGTCTTGGATTTGCCTAAGCGTGGACTCTTGGAACAGTTGCCGTTTGCATTTCTCACGGATGTGTATGTGTGGATTTGGGGACCAGTTCGCATACACAAATTTCGGCCCTCGTGCTTGCAGACCAGTTCTCTAAATCCAACACCTCGTGGGACTTTTGTTTGGTTGTTGTGGATGAGGCCCACCCAAAGGATTGTCTGGCTCAGTACCCCCAAAGTTACATTCTTGATATATTAGGAAAACAAACGGACTTAGGACAGCATTTTACACATTTTAGTGGCCATGAGAATTAGTTTTTTTATACAAATACAGATTCCTAATCCCTGCCCTTAAAGAGGTGGTGTTTCTTAGGATCTTGGGTATTTTTCAGAAATTTCATTCTTAAACAGTTGCCCCAGGCTCTAGTCTAAGTAATCTATGGAGCATATTTTGAGGAACATTAGCTTAGAACTTGGCCATTTTTCTAAGCATTCCTGTTTGTTCATATACACTGGGAAGATGTTAGAAAAGCATAGTTTACCCCCCAAGTGCAATTACACAGTTCATGAGCCTAGTAGATCATTTAAGATAGTGGCATCAAAGAAACTTTGTTTTGCATCTTTATATGTGTTTGGTATACGGTGGGTGGGTGTATATGTGTGCTTGTGTATGGAAGCCAAAGGTTGATGTTAAGTCTTCTGAGAAGGCTCTCCACTTCATATATTGAGGCAGGTTCTCTTACTTGAACCCAGAACTTCCCAGTTAGTCGACACTAGCTAGCCAGCTTGCTCCAGGGAACTCTGCCTCCAGAGCACTGAGATTCTGGCAGGCCACCATGCCGGCCTGGCGTTTATGTGTGTACTAGAGATTTGAACTCTGGTCCTTATGCTTGCATGGCAAGCCCTTTACCCAGTGAGCAGTCCCCCAGCCCTAGACCCTTAGGTTTATGAGATTCTCACACCAAGCTAGAAGTGAAAATAGCTGTCTCTTCCCTTGAATAATCTCACAGTTTGGTGATTTCTGCAACCTTTAGTGGTAAAAGATGTAGGTTGTTGTAGGCCTAGTCTGTCTTTTTACCAGTATGGAAACCTTAAATTGTTCATTGTCTACTTGAAGACTTACTCTGTTTTTTGTTTGTTTGTTTGTTTGTTTTGAGCTAGGTCTCACTGTGTAGCCAAAGCTTGCCTTGAACTCACTATATAGCCAGTGCTGGCCTAGAACTTAAATTATCTTCCTGCCCCAGTTCCTGAGTGCTAAGCTTTCAGGTGTGCACCACCATACCTGACTTTAATTTTTTAGATGCAAAATCAAACTATTCTAGGAGGAATTTGTAATCATAATTGACACAATGCCAATTTAAATGTTTTTGGCTAACAGATACACTTTTCCTGATGCTAAATTCTAATGTAACGTTTGCTCAGTTGATAACTGTGATGGTTAGCTTTAATTGCAAACTTGATACAACCTAGAATCACTTGGGAAGAGTCTCAGTAAAGACTCGGGATTGTCTACACTGCATTGGCTTGTGGGCGTGTCTGAGGGGGAATTGCCTCGGTTAAGTTAGTTAATGCTGGAAGACCCAGCCCACTATAGGTGGCACCATTCCCTAGGCAGGGAGTCTTGACTGTGTAAGAGTAGAGAAATCCAGCTGAGCACCAGATAGCTGGGCATGGAACATGCATGCCTTCTCTCTCTGCTCTTGACAGGATGCAGTGTGACCAGCTGTCAAGCTCCTTCCACCTTGGCTTCACCTCAATCATAGACTGTAACCTTGGATTGTGGAGCTAAAATAAGTTTTTTCTCCCCTAAATCGCTTTCATTTTATCATATCAACAAAATGAAACTGGGACATTAGGTTTTCCTTATCTGTTGTTGCCTGTAAGGGTGTATATGGGGATATTGATCTGAGGAATTGAATCAGGGGGAAGCATTGTGGTATCATTAAGGAGAATATTTTTTTTCCTTCATAGATTTGCTGCTTTCATTTGGCCCAGTTTGTTGGTAAACTGGCTTTTGGGGGCAAGATAATGATTATCATTTTTTTTCTCTCAGATAAGCTCTCCATAGGATCCAAGCCATATGCTGGCCTTCTGGCTAATCAGCCCCTAATCTGAAGTTTCTCGACAAAACTTCATTAGGACTGGTTGTTTCAAGGCTATTGCTAGGCTGGTTTCTGGAAACACTCATGCGGATGTTGATTTTTTTCTAGTCTCTGTTTTTAAAATGCTTGTGATGGGGCTAAATTGAGCTTCCCCAATGCCATACTAATCACCTGGGAAGATTCTTAATTGGTAATGTTCTGGTGGTAGCCAAGTTTAACAAACACTGATTTACATTCAGTAAATGGCTGTAGCCTCTAACTCACATTGATTCCTGCCATTCATTGTAGGATCTGTAGTCTTCTGTGACTTTGAATCTTTCAAGGCTTGAAGCATATGAAAATTTTGTGATTGGAAAAGACTTTAATAGATATTCGTCCATGAATATTTTGTTCCAGTAGAGTGAATGAAATTCTAATAGTGGCGGAAGCATTTTATGTGCAAGTTACAGGTAAATTTGGGCACAGATGAGATGCTTAAAATTATGGGGTCTTTGTGCTCCAAGGCATATTGAGTTGAAAATACAAAGTTCCCCAAATATTTCAGTAATTTCACTATGAGAGGTCCATAATGTATTGAGAGTGGAAGGTGAAGTATTTGGAGCCCAGGCCTAACCTTAGAGGTTTATGTTAGTGTAGTCTTGCTCTTTCATGTATTATAATGGAGAGTGGTAATCCGAGAGTGGCGCCAAAACTATATTCCTCACACTGAGGTTTTTGACTCAGTGGGGTGGTAATCATGCTGTGAGGCTGAGCCTTTGGCCATTTAATGTGCCTCTTCACTTCCTTTATAGCTTGGCTTCCCCTCTTTGCTCTTCCCTCTTTCTTCATTCCACTGTTGTATCTTCTGCCTCCCAGGGTCCGTGGTGGTTTGATGGTTTGCAGGGATGGGAGTTATAGCTCATGATGGCTATCTTTAGCCAGGCTGGAATCCTAATGTCAGTGGTTGGCAACTAAATGCTTCAAAAATTAAGAGACAACTTAATTGTTATCTGCTTCCCACTTAGCTTTTTGAGGTGAGTCTTTAATGAACTGAGACATTTGATTAGGAGGACAACAAATAAAACTGGCTTCAGAATTCAGTGTAATAGGACTAGCTGTGTGTGAAATGTGCTTCCCAAATTAGGGAGCTGGAAGCACCAGGGAGTGGAAGAGATTTAGAATGTTTCAAGCTAGCTGTGTATACCAAACTTAATATTTTTTCATTTGCTATTAAGAAATTACTAGATTTTGGTGAGTTAGCTTAGATATTTACTCACAATTTTTTTTCTTAGGAAAATGAGTTCTAGTTTCTAGATAGCTAATTTTGAAATTACTGTTTTGTAATTTAGGGAGTGTCTGTACATTTGTGTATACGTATGTGTATGTGTGTGGATGAGTACATGGTGTGTGCACATGCATGTGGAGGCCAGAGTTCATCTTCAGGTGTTGTTCCTCAGGCACCGTCTACATTGTTTATTGAGGCAGGGTCTCTCACTGGCAAGATCACTAAGTAGGCTAGGCTGGATGACCAGTAATCCCCAGAGATCTGCCTGTCTCCTGTCCCTCAGCACTGGGATTATAAATTCATGCTACTACATCTGGCTTTTTCTTTTGTATGGATTCTTGGGGTTGAAATCTGGTCCTCATGCTTGAGTGGCAACTTATTTACCACCTGAGCTGTCTTCTCAGCCCTGGCTGTACAGTTTTAAGTTTGTTTTGTTTTTGTTTTTGTTTTTTTGCTAGTTAAATGATTGTAGTCTCAAGACATAAGTGCACAGTATCTTTTGTTTGGAATAGGTCATCTTGTTTCCCACCATATTCTGCTTTATTTGTCTTGGTAATTTCCGTTTTCATCTCGATTACTCCTACAGAAGCTGGAATGCCTTCTTCAGAGTGGAGCAAGAGGAAAAAGCAAACTTTGAAAATTGGACACGGAGGGACTCTGGACAGTGCAGCTCGCGGTGTTCTGGGTAAGAGACATGAAGGAAATTTAAAGCACTCTCCCTTAGTATCTGAAAGCCAGTTGGTTGAACGCAATTTAAATCAGCTAAAGCCATGGCAATTCAGTGTCCCTTGGAATGTTCCAGTTCTACTAGATTTGTAGTGCTGCTGAGAAGAGGCCTTTAAATGTGCAGAGTACATAGAACTGTTAGAAGTAGTTGCTTTTATTTGAGCATGGGACTTAGAGAAAAGATGAATCTGCAGAACAGTTGACACAGCAGGTGTGCCGTTGATTTTAGAAAGGCTTGCTCTTGGTTACCATCTTTGAACTCGGGGTTTAGGAGTTGTTTCCACCCTTTTGTAAGTCTTATTAAGCATGGTTTGCTATGCCTTGACTGTGAACCCTCAAATCTGGAATTTTTAAGGCAGAGGTGCCTAGGTGACGATTTCCCCACCCCCAGTAAAACTTTGGGTGCTGTGTTTCCCCTGTGTTTCTGATGTGTTTCACCAAGAGAAACATTGTATACATGCTGCTGCTTGATAAAATTGTTGAAAGGAACAAGCTCAAGTGTTCCTGGGAGCAGGAGGGAAAGACTGATGAAGCCTGTGTGTGGATCTCTCTAGTGTCCTTCCATAGTGGTCCAGTGGTATAGCCTTATTACATCAATACATTGTACTCAATCCTAAATCTACCTGTGTCTAATCCCAGATTAGTTGTTTTTAGAGGGTAAACCTGAAGTTGTTAGGGGAAAAGCCATTTTCTCCCAGAGACATTAGTTAACCATTTTATTGCTTGTAGAAGGAAACCTGATATACACTCTCCATTTTATTACAACTCATGTTAAGTAAAAGCAATAGTCCTTGTGTAAGCTATTTAAAAAATAATGCTTATTTATAAGAAAAGGATAAAATTAGTAAAAATGATAAATTTCAAGATAATCAGAAACTGTATGATTTGCATTTTATAAAATTGTTATTTTACTTATTATTTGTATTTTATGTGTACAAGTGTACTGCCTGCATGTGTGTAAGGGCACCTGTGTTGTGCAACATTTTATAAAATTATAAACTTTAATATATGGTGGCAAAAATATCTTTATCTGAGATTAAAATAGGAACGTTCAGAAGGAAAGCTATTTTCCTGCATTAGAGAACTTGGACAGGCAAATTTGGCAGCCTAAAATTACTATTTCTTATAATAACTAAAATTAATGAGCATTTTGGGCCAGGCGTGATGGCTCCAGGCATTCGGGAGGCAGAGGCAGGCAGATCTCTGTGAGTTCCAGACCAGCCAGGGTTGTATAGTAAGATCCTGTCTTAACATAAAACAAAACAGAACAAACAAAAAACTGGCCCAAAATAAGCATTTTATGGAGCACTCATTTCATATGATGCGTTCTAGGAGAGAGCATCTTACAGCTTTTCCTTCATGCTTGTTTGCTTTTAACCTGAGAAATTTTTATGTGATCCCAGGTATATATAGATATTATATAAAATAGGTATATACACCAAACATTTATTTATAATCAAAATACTTGAAATCAATTTATTGATAATCAAAATATTTGAAATCATTTTTTAGTATATTTTTACTGTTTATTAAAGATGAAAGCAAATGTACAAGCTAATTAGATGTGCTTGTTTTTACATAGAGAATTAAGTCTGGGCTGAATATTTAGTAATGTAGGACACAGAGCACCTTCAGTGTTTTTCAAAGCTGATTGATAGTTTGATTTTGTTATAGTTAGTGCTGAGAATTCCACATCACTTAAACACTTAAACAAGATGGCAAAAGTATGTTTTGAGCCATTTTAGAAATTGTAGGAAATTCTGCCCTAATCCCATATCAAAATTCATTGAATGAATTTTTGTGAAATTCAAGTTATCAAATGAGATAGTAATTTAGACCCACTACCCCATCCACACGCCCCCATAGCACCCCACACACACCAGATCTCATGCATTCTGCAATATATGTTAAGGATATCTAGTCAAGCATTTGTGCCCAGATGTCCCTAGGTGCAGATTCATTTACTGTAGTCTAGTCAGCCTATCTAAAGTCACTCCTTTAAGATCAACTTCCCTCACCCTGCAGTAATCAGTTGCCAATAGTTCCTCAGCTGAGGTTGGGCCTGCTGCCCAGTCCCTCAGTTCTGTGCTGGTTTTTTATGTGGTCGAGTCAGCATGGGTCTTGTGAATGCTATCACCATTGTTGCAAGTTCATATGAGCAAGTTTCTAGAGGCCTGAAATCCTCTGTTTCCTTATATTTATGCACTGACCCTGGCTTTTACAGTCTTTCCGCCCCTCTTCCACAATGGTCCCTGAGCCATGGATGGGTGAGGTGTAACATAGGAGTCCTTTCCAAGGGCATGCAGTCTGCAGTCTCTTATTTTTTACACTTTGGCCAATTGTTGCCTTCTGTGTGTGTTACACTCTGTTGTATGAAGAAGCTTTGCTGGTGACAGTTGAGGGATGTATTAGTATTCTCTCTAACCCCTATTCTACTATGTTTCATGAGTCTTAGGTGTAGAGGTTCCACTGTAGATGTGTCGCTTAGGGCTGGGCATCTCTCAGACATATATTCTCTGTGTGTGACCAGTTGTGGAACTCTGTAATAGTCTCTATCTGTTGCAAAGAGGAGCTTCCTGATAAGTGGTGTATAGTATACTTGTCTACAAATATAAGGATTCTCATATTTAGCATACAGTAAGAAATTTAATTTATCTAGAGATATGACAGAGATAGGGTTTTTTCTAGGATCTATGACTTCTCCAGGCATGTGTATTTGGCTCTGTTTATAATGCCACCCATGAGTTCACTCTCACTGAGAGGACTTTAAGTCCAGTTAGATACCTGTTGATTATAGAAACATGGAGATAAAGGGAAAGAAAGAGCCTGAGGAAGGGGGATAATAGGAAACAGATGTTACTAAGGGGGAAATGAGGAAATGGGGTACTCAGTTGGGAAGGGAGGAAGGAAGGACACACAGGGAACCATGGGGGCAAAGGGGAAGAAGGAAGTCGAGAGGGCAGATAATAGGCGACAGGTCTTATCAAAGGGAAAATGGGGGTACTTTAACTGGGGAGGAAGAAGGGAGGCTAGCCAGGGAGAGAGAGAGGAGAGATAAATAAAGCTTAGGTTGTATGAAAAGCCAGAGGGAAATGTATGTAACTCAGAAATTTGAAAAATACACATACAATATCTGAACATGAGTGCATGTGTATACCTGAAGGCTACATAACAAGAAACACTGTACCAGACAAGACAAACCTTTCTTTGCGCTATTGGTCAGAGTCGTCCAGGAGACTCCCAAAATAACACAGGCTATTGTCACAGCCCTTGACTACCTCCCAGAACTTGAAGGTAAGACCCTAATTGCTGAAGACAGGACATACTTTGGACATAGGACTTGGAGCATTGGAGGTGGAACTGACCTGGAAGCCTCCTCACTGAAAACTAGTTCTCATAGTTCTAGAGGATACTATGCAAGCTGCATAGGGAGAAAATCAATCAGTGGTCCAATCCCAGCTGTAAAACCTAAGAACTGGCACAGCAAACTGTCTGTATTGGTGTAGTAGTGGCTCTTTCATCTAGGGATAATCAATAGCTATCTAATTGAAATAGCAAAAAATCAAACATTATAACAATACAGTATAAAGATAAGCGAATTTAATACATGTTGAAGAATGAAGGTGGGGAAGTATTAAAAGTTTTTATTTTCCGGGGCTGGAGAGATGTCTCAGCAGTTAAGAACACTGGTTGTTCTTGCAGAAGACCCAGGTTCAAATCCCAGTACCCACATGGCAGCTAACGACTGTCTGTAACTCCAGTTCCAGGGGATCCTACAGCCTCTTCTGACCTCTGAGGGCACTGCACAACATGGGTGCACTTACCTACATGCAGGCAATACGTGGATACACATAAAATAAAAATAACGAATAAAATTTTCTAAAAAAGTATTTTCCATAATTAAACTCTTATGTCTCTATAGAAACAGGCAACTTTATATGTATTTAAAAAAACCCATTTCTGTTCATAACATACAGTAGTCTTGAATCTGAGCCCAGATGTTTCAGGCAGTATTTGTGGGTGCTGTGTGGAATGGTGACTGTGCAGTTCACAGTTTGTTCAGAACCAAGGCAGCAGTGAAGCCACTTAACGCCGCTCGAGCGAGCACAGCCAGAAACACCTTAGACTCATTATGCCTTTCATTTCGAATTAACTTTTTTTGGGGGAGGGGGGCATCTTTTTGAGACCTGTAGGGTCTCCCTATAGCCCCAGCTGATCTGGAATTCACTATGTAGACCAGGCTGGCCTCAAACTCACAGAGATCCACCTGCCTCTGCCTCCCAAGTGCTGGAACTAAAGGCATGAGCCACCATGCCCTGCTTGAATTAATTTTTGGTTGTTAATGTGTTTAGAAACCTCTTGCCATTGTCCAGTTTTTGCAACTCCTACATTCAGTTACATGACACCATGCTTAGTATGAAAAGCTGGGGTCTGCAGCATTTGTAAATTGTGTGCTTTAATCCTTATCGTAACCTGTAAAATAAGTATAATCCCCATTTTACAGAAGAAACAAAGGCTCAGAGTGATAAAGCAACAGGTCCATTGTCATAGAATTAATGAATGGCAAAGTCTGCATTTGAGGCTAGATTTGCTTAGGTGAAAAGTCTCTGGCCTAGTGTGGCATGGTCAATACCTGGTACTTCTGCCTTTATTCCTACAGCCCTATGCAGGAATTACCACCATCACAGCACTCTTCACTGATTCCATAACTGGCTGCATGATTGTACTCAGCTTAGTGCTCCAGGTACCCTTCCTTACCAGTTAATCAGAGTTGGCCCTTGAGTTGAAACCTATTTGTCTTAAAACCATTCTACTATTTTCCAAGGCATGGCACCATAAATAGGAGAAAAGATGGTCTTTTCATTTGTGATGAGATACATTCTATTAATTTCACGTGGTGGTTCCTTATTTGTGTGCAGTGAATGGAATAGTTCATTTTAATCCTGAGTGTAAGGGATC